TCTTATCAACTGTATCTAACTTATGGGCCCGAGCGTTGTGTTCCTTGAATTGAATCTCGAATCAGAACAAATCAACCAGGAGACGCCCCTGAATTTCCTCCCTCTGGGTCACAATTAAACTTGATTTGTAACGGTATACCCACTGAAACAGGAAACCGTGGACTAGGAAGCTGGTCATGTTTCTAGGCATCTTTAAAGGTGTCATCAGATGCCCATACTTGTCTATATGCTGTGGGGTCAGACCGCTTCATTCCGCGTGTCCGTCAAAATTAGGTCACGCCGCAGACGTCGCACACGGCGCGCCAGCTGCGATTCTTGCTGGACGTCGAAATTGTCATGGGGCGTACGAAAAGAAGGGCCCGGTATCTTCTCCCCGAACACGGCGTCGCTCTCGCCGCACCCGCCGCGTATTGCAGAATTGCGATGGAAAATTGGAGCGCGCGATTTCTGAGTTAGGAAGTCCTTTAATTATTTGAATTCGCTGGCCGCTCCCTTCAATTCCAATGCGGTCTTGATCGTCGATAATATAGGAGGAATCATTCCAAACGTTAAAGTCTAATAAACATAAAAACGAAAAAGAAGGAGAAAGAGAACGGCAGTCAATGAAAAATATTGCGTCCTATCGATTGGCGTGGAGGCGGGCTGAGTACGGTAGTTGCAGTTTGGAGCCGCGAGACAACTAAAAAAAGATTTGTCGCATGCCGCAAAGCGAACGTGGGAAATCGGGGAGATGTTCCGTGACTCCAAAAAGAGCAGTCGGCTTGAAGAGAAGATAACACAGTGTAGTGCAAAGCGCTCGTTACTGACACTTATTGGCGCTGCAATGTCATCACAAGATCGCAGTGGAACGCGTCACGCGCGAAGTGGGCGGGGTGTCTTGGTTTCGACGGACGCGCGGAACGGCCTTTCCCCCTGGACAGCAGTAAATTTGTGTAGTACTTCGTTCTTATTTCTATTCAAATATGAAGAAATCATATGGGAATTAGCCTGTTGATGTCAATAAGCTCATGCTCATTTATTTCAGCAGTTGATGGTCTCTCGCCGGACGGTCAACGAATACTGGCAGCTGAGCGAGACCGTTTCAACTCGGCACTGTTGTCGTACTGTATGGCCACACATGGAGTGGCGAATGCACCGGCCCATTACGCAGCCGTTTTGTCCATGGTCGATATTTTACATCGCCAAGCAAAAACACAGAAAGACTTTCATGTAATCATCCAAATGCAACGATCTCGATTTCATGGTATACCTTTGATTGAGGAGATTATGGACTAGATCTCCGCTGCACACATGGTGGTCCAAAATTTGGGTAATATCTGTTTATCCGAGATCTGAGCAATAGTATTATTTAGTACCAAGTTCGTAGGTTCTTTTAATCACCCCTATCGATCAACTCGCCCTTACTTGATGAAGACGTCTTAAACTGCAGTCTATACAAGTAAAGCATGCGGTAGTGAAGGAGCGAAGCCTTTGCGAATGACCGATCTCAGAAAAGTAGGAAAGAGTTGTAATGAAAGAGGTAGTTTGTTTGGGAGTTCTTCAGGAAGCAAACAGATTTATACGAACTGGCACTGAGGGAATGACTTGACCCACTTAGTGTTGTCCCATACTCATCTTCAAGCGCCTCTGGGTGTGGTATCTTGTACCCGAGCGGCATGCCGCGTTCGCCGCGCTCGATCGCGCGCAGTAGCGCTTGTGAGAGGGAAGGTTTGAAGTTCCTTTGGAAGGTTGCCGAGAAATCACTGTCGCTTGCAGTAGGAATTCGGGTACGAATACTCCCACTCACTGCTTCCATTTCTCCCACATTTATTCATCTTAGGCGAGCAAGGCCAGCACAGGTAGGGCTCAAGCAATGTCGTCCTTCTTTCACTTATTTTAATTTCTATCTTCAGCAATACAGTAGAAGGTAAACCAGTTGATAGTTGATATAGGTCGACAACCTATAGTAGGTAGACGAAAATATTGTCCTGCTCATTTGTCTGCCCCTGGAATGTACTGTGTAGGCTAAGTGTGTGTATCGTTTACGTATTAGACTTAGAAGTTGAGTGCGTGGCGCATACCGCGAAGGGTTTATACTCTGAAGTTGGAAAGTACCCTACTCCATCTCCCGCGAAATCCACTGTATTACCCTGAATTTTGGACTACCGTGTAACAAATAAATTCCAAGTATATTACTAGTCCAAATATTTCTATGGCATTAGAGATGTATATAATTTTTGATGTGATATTATAAGTTATGGTTGAATTTTGCAATACAGGTTGTGTGCTGATTCAAGTTATTTCTTGATGTACTTGTTTTGTTATAAAACTTTTTCTATTACAATCGTTGTTGAGTCTGTTACTGTGATACGCATTGCGTTCAATATTTGTTCGAAAAAATAGAGTTTATAATGGAAATCGACGTCTGGTTTTTGTTTAAATTTTTCAGAATTAATGACTTATAATTCTCTTCATTCTGATTACTCTTATTGCTAGGTTTTGCCTTATTAATATTTATTGCACTGCTAGTATTGATTGATGAAGCGCTACAGCCAGAGCCTGGCGTAGCCCTCGTCCCCCTTCCACCTTTCCGCCATTTCATGCCAACCGAATCTTCCTTAGACCTCCCACGCTTCCACCTGCCCGTGGCTCTTACGTGAACCCGATTTTATAGTATGATGGGTACGTTGATGTAAACATCGAGCTGACTGTTCTTCTAAATGAGCCAGGTGAGGCTCAAAATCTTCAACGATCCTTTACAAGAGTCGCATACGTGGCGTATTCCCCAAGGGAGTCCAATGTGCCGTTAGCTTTTTCGTCTTTTGTTAAATCGTAACCACTGCTCACGCTTGGTTAACCGGTTATTTCCAAGTGCACCATGCCCTTATAGCAAAGTGCGGGTTCGAGTCCCGTCCAAGGCCGACGTTTTGTCCACGACAAGCCAACCTTGTTAGACTTTGGATCGCGTACTGTGACAAAATAACAGCAGTTAACATAACTTTAGGTCAAAACAAGTTACTTCCAAAAACTTTCCCGCCCGTCTCTCCTGTGGAATTAAAATCAGGGATGGGCTCAGTAGGTAGAGAGGAGATTCTTGAAGAACTCCAAAATATTCCCTTGCAAGGGGGTCATCGTGTTTCCAACAAGTTTTAAGCTAAACTGGGTTCCCATTTGTAGATTGTGTGATATTTTCAGTACTATCGGCGCCAATTATTGGTGCTATATATCAAGGCCGCGGATCTCCATCACTGAGAGTTCTCACTCACTGGAGGATCTCTGGCCAGTTGGTGGCAAGTCTACGTAACACGACCCTAGGTGGCGAGTGGGGGTCAAAATCAACGGTGCAAGCCCAAAGATGCAGGTGGTCAAGGGATCCACTCCTTGGTTCTGTTAAGGTTCTTTTGACCCTTTCCAGGCGTATCCATGTATGCGTGTAGAGGAATTGCGAGTGCGCTGAGTATCTGGACGTCGGATAAGCTATAAGCTTGCATTTAAGTGACTGGGAAGTGTAGCTGAGGCATCGGTAGTGTAGGTGTTCTTGTCAACAGGCACTTGAGCATATGCATCTATTTGTGCGAAAGCATGGCAACCTGAATTGGACATTTGCGGTTGAGTAGATGTTGCTCAACCCCAGCCCTAACATTTTTCGTTGCCTACGCACCAACATCGGGCTACGAAAAGGGAGTACGTGAACATTGTTTGGAACCGGAAAAGCTTTTCAGAAAGTACCATACTTTCTTCGAGGTCATCGTGGGTGATTTTAAAGCCACTGTTGGCTCCAGAAAAAGACCCACGAGCTCACTCAAGTTCGACGGAACTGCATGGAATGAGCATGGAGAAAGACTGTTCGAGTTTACCATGTCGAATTCATGATGGACTTGGGAGTCACCTGGTAGACAGTACAGTTTTACGATGAAGAAGAACATGACCTTCAATCGAACATACTGTCTGACCGACTTTGTTGTTATTCCTAAATCTTGCACGGGTTTGGACGTCGTATCCATCGTCCCAGATTCTGTTTTTTCATACCCAGAGAGATCTGCGATGTTCAGAAAGCGCAATCTCAAGATCGTCATCAATTGCGATCAGTTGCGATTTTATGGGAAAGTTATTTCATCGACATCATCGGCAATGAGTACTACCAACTCGTAGAACATCTTCCTAGTAGTACTGAGGTGATAGAGGTGTTGAAAATCATAAAAAGTAAAAGTCATTTTTCAAGCTTCCTAAGCTGGTACTGAAGCATGGAGTGGCACGAGCTGCAGGCAACTACCATCGGACCTCCAAGCTTGCGAAGCTACGCTGAAAACGATGAAGGAAGATTTGAAAGAGAAAAGAACAACTGGTTTGGCCAAGACCCTTGGGCCAATATGTCCTACCTTTGACGTCCTGAAAGACATCACTGCATCTTGAGGTTCGATGGAGAAGATCAATGACGACCTCCGCTCTTTTCAGCGACCATACTACCTGTCTACTTTCCATCTCGGGCAGGATGGGTATATCACTCTTTCAGCCTCCCTTTTCGGAGTCTGACTTGCTAGCTGGGCTAACTATGCGCTTCCTTCACGGACCCTTTCAGAACGCAAGGTACCCACTTTTTTTGAAAACGTGTAGGGCGTGTTGCTGTATAAGAGAGGAGACGTAAACCGACGACTCGTGCGACCTCACGCTTCACTATCTCGGTCTGCTTCTTCCGGTCAGCCCATCAAAGTCAAATGATCTTCCTGGTTTGCATAGTATGATCTTCAATATCGACTCTGAATGCAAGTGTTCGTAGGTTCAAAGTTCATATCGGTGTATTTTCCCTATCGGTCCTTTCCATCGCTGCCGTGCTGGATTCCCTCAAATTTAGGGGACTGAGCCCAACCATTTTACTGTTGTCTGTATACATGTACCCACGGATATCCTACCAGTCACTGGCATGGCGACTGGGTAAACTGCAAGCAGTTAGTCATGCATAACTCAATGTGACTGCTTTCATTGGTCTATAAATTTTTCACGTAAGTCGTTCTCTATAGCATTGGCAAAACACTGGGGGATATTCTTGCTAGCGAACGGGGTTCCGAAGGGGGTTTAGAACAATCGACCATATTCACACACTCACAAGATTCTCTGAAGTGAGTGCAGGATGCCGCTAGGCTCGAGTCCACATGAAGATGGCCTTCGATCCTGTTAAGACAAGAGAAACAGTGCAAGCTCTGGGCGACTGGGGTATCCCTACTCATTAATGAGGCCCCTACATGAGTCTTGCGACAGCCTCACGACTAGAACCTCAACATTCTACAAAGCTAGTCGTCGTCAGCGTGAAAATTGTGGCTCATGTAACAGGACGATACCGTCCCACACAATCCTTTGTGTGCGTCTTTCGTAGACGTCATGCGTCATTTGGAATGGGGAAACATGGGAGTGGAGGTTGTCGCCCGCTTGTTTCATAACCTCCGCTTTGCGGAAAACATCGTGCTTGTAAACCGAACATGGAGTGCGGAAGAATGCTGGCCGAGTTCGTCAGAGCTTCTGGAAAAATCGGCTTATGAGTGAAGAAGCTGTTCATAAGAAATGGACTGGCCCCTAATGCTCCATTTCCGCTCAGTGGCACGAACATCTCTGGGTAGCTGCTTGCACCTTTGGGACGAGAAGTCACGTGATGGACGACCTGGCACCTGGGCTGAGTAGGAGGAAACGCGAGACTTGATGAGCATTTAAGAACATCAAGAAACAGGCATGATGACCATGTAGTCAGTGTCATTCAATACTCTGTGGAAAGGGCAATTCTAGAAGTTTCTCTTTACACGCAAGTGCATAAGGGGGCCGGAGTTGTGAGCTCCGTCGGCAAACCAATATCAGGGACACCGCTGTTTACGTCAAGGAATCGAAGATCAGGTGGGCCGGACACATCATGTGATGTTATGATGACCGAAAGGTTACTGACTAGATCGGCCCGTGAAACGATTACTAGGGCCACCCACAGCTTAACTTTCAATTTCCTTCACGATTGTTTGAAGATAGGGTTGTCCCGTAGTGTCTCTCGAGCGAAGAAAGTCTGCCAGACTAGACTGGCTCGCAAAAGGGACGAATGGAGGCGTTACTGGCGATCGCCCGAGCAGATCGATAATATCGACTGAGCAACAAGAGACACTTGACAAGTGACAAACTGAAACATCTCAGGAATTTTTGGGATTTTCCTATATTACCTGTTTCAGCAGAGGTTGTACTGCAGAGCCTTCGCAGCTCAAAACTTTTTCGGAACTTTTTCTTAAGAATTTCCGGAAAAGTTAGGGTATAGGGGTTCCCGAATCTTCCAGAACACTCGCCACATGCATGCAACCAATAATGCGCAAGTAGACGACCAATATCAATCTTTTGTTGCTTGCGCCACGTACTTGACTTTTGGTCTGACTGGCGGCAACGATTTTAAGGCATTTGCCATCAAGCTGCTCTCCAGGGAACAGAAAATGCCTTCCTCTTGCTACCTGCCAATGCTTGACCTAACAAGTACATGAGTGGCCGAATTAGTATCGAGTAAAATAGGTCTGTTATATGAGCCCCGGACCATACGTATTGTAACCGCTTTATTTGCTACTTTGAATCAGGGAAACTTGTCTTCTTAGGAAAAGTTTCCTCGAGAAAACGGTTGTGATGGGTAAGACATACCTTTCTGATCTCGCCTGCCAAGGTTGAGCGTACGTGACAGAAAAGGGACCCTACTAATGGGATTCGGTTGGTACCACAAGATCACTGCCCCCACTCTTTGTATCCTTCGGACAGTTATCGTTTAGGTCTTTACCTTTCTGAAGAATGCCTCTGACCACTTCATTACAGCAAATTAGCGTAACGAAGTAAACTTTGTACTAGTTATAGTTGTATGATTTAATATAAACTTTTATTACATGATATTCAGTAACAACCTTTTATATTCATATAAAACACCGTATTCGAATGTAAATGCGTCACTGGTTGGCTGAAAACTGGTAATTTGGAATCGATTCGAGATAGTAAATGGGGTGGTCGCCCACACCATACATGTTCCAAAGTACGTTCATGTTTGTACAGCCACGTAATCAGTACTCGGGGGCGCAGATGGTAGTGCATGAAGTCTGGCAAT